TGTGTGTGTGTTATGTGTGTGTGTGTGTGTGTGTGTGTGTGTGTGTGTGTGTGTGTGTATAAACCAGGCACACATCCAGCTACGTGTTGGCGACGTACCTTCTCAATTAACTCGTCCAAACTTTCATATTTGACATTCGCCTCAGCATCGCCATCAGCGGCCACGGACGCAATCGCCGAGCCGTCTCTGTGCTGTTGAGGAAACGACAATGTATATACGTTGATTAAGAGCTACAAACAATCGCGATATTGGTAGTGGTATATTTTGGATACGAATTGAGGTAAGCGACTAGAAAATATTTGAACCTTAACAGCGACAGCTGTATATATGTGTGTATATACATACATACATGTCTACGTGTGTGCCGGTTTTCTGGGAGATGTGAAGTGGGCATACAAGTGTATGCCATGTGTGTAACAACTGCAAACCGGAGTGAAAACCCGTACTAAAGTTTCGCCGAGTGTTTGAGGATATGTAATTCATATCCAAATACTGTTTGAGAATATTAGCGACCAGATTACCTATCGTCTAAACTCAAATAACTACAACCGTCGAACGTTGAAGGAAGCGAGCGTAGATATGGATAAATATATTCGAGTTTTTTACACTTAAATGTTTTAAAAAATAACTGTTTGTCAATAAAAGGGGTCAAATTCCCCCATTTCTCAACAATTTATAACTTCAACTGCCGTTGCCGCCAGCAACGCGTGCAAACACGAATGTGGGCAAACTGCAAGCTTGTGTAGATTGTTATATAAATATATTACCATTGTTATGTTTCTTTATAAATTATCATTGTTGTGTTTCGTTGCGGCTACTAACACATTGAAGCATGCACACGGCGAGCGTGACCATAGTCGTTCCTTAGAAGCGAAATGATTGCCCCAGTTGCCTATCCGTGCCAAAACACAAAACCAAGCCGTTTGGCAGCTAAAAGGTATCTATATACATATACATATACAAATTAATAAACATATATACATATATAACTTGAGATATGCACGTCTATTGGCGCGTGTATGTGTGAAAAAGTATATTTTGGAACAGCACTTACCTCGATACTGACCACGACCACTCCCCGTGATGCCAACTCGTTGCACGTGGCAGAATAATGCGATCGCCATGTCGCCAATCCGTGTGAGAACACAAACACAGGCCATTTGGTCGCCGGTGCCGGTGGAGGTTCAAGTGGAGAGTCCTTGCCACCTGGATAGGATTTCACACAGGAGTACATAAACATGCTTCACACAGGAGTACATAAACATGCTTCACACAGGAGTACATAAACATATTATACAATTGTATCTATGCGTACGTGTATAAATATAACTTTTCGTTGTACGAATTTAAATATGGTGTGCACGTAAGAGGAATGTGCATTTGTGATGTGTGTGAATAAAGAAAGAGTATATATCAGAATGATTCAGCAACAGGAGCGCCAGTGTGTGCGTGTAAACGTGTATGTTTTTGCGTTTGTCGTTATTATGTACGCATGTATCACTTTGTCAGTAAATATGTACACATGCGGGTTAGCAGGCACATCGCTAGATATACGGAAATAGTGTAGTGCGCAGACAATATACCTATCTCGTAGATGTATGATACATACGAACACGGGTATAGAAATATTGGCTACATTGAAAGCTACATTTACAGGCACCGAACCCCAGAGATGTAGATGCTTGTGTGCACATGCATTTGTGCTGACTGGGCACACGCATTCATAGGGAAAGACGCAGCCACACAAGTATACATATCCATCCTAAGATGGTGTTGCATGTACATCCAATAAGAATCCCGTATCCATAGATTAGAACTAATTCACACACTAAGGGTGGCATGAGCATGAGCATGTCGCATCTACAACCATACGAGATGTCCAGTTTCTAGCCATGTACTCGTACGTGGAATACTCACAAAATAAAAATCGATATCAAGTGCATCTCTGGCATAAAGTGACCCGATGTAGTACTGAAAACTTCCTCATGAAACTTGAGCCAGGATGTGACTCGAGAACTGCCAACCACAGGCTCACAACACACACACTTGCGGAAGCACAACAATCACCTCAAGATTAAGATGCGAGCACAACAAGCAAAGCGTTCAATCTTTAGATACACAAACATTCGCATCACAACATGATAACCCTAGATACACAAACATTCGCATCACAACACGACATGATAACCCCTCGTAGTTATATTTGCACGAGCTAGATACCGCGAGGACGCACGCAGCAGAACAGAATCTCACCTGGTATATTAATGTGGCCCACCACACTGCTAGCTACTCCTCCCACGATCCATTTTGGTATACTCAGGAAGTCTCCATAGCCTTAAAATAAGTGGATGTTTCAACGGAGTCAATAAATCAAAATTTGGAGCACAAACTTGCTAATACAACGTTATTAGAGCTAAACTGCTCTCATTGAAGATGGTTGTATTTCTGATGCAGATAGCACACCTGCGCCATATTCATAGTCCGGTAACCACTTCGATGGGGAGCCCTCCTCTGTGCTGGGATAGTACAGACGCACGAACGAACGGGTACCATTCGGTGTCAGAGCCTCGATATCCGAGTGCGACACACTACAAGTGAATGGTACAGAACTGTAAATGCATTGTACTCGCAGATGGCTGAATATACCAACATACTTGTTTTAGTGGTTCGAGTTCATTGCTAGTAGTTCAGGCACTTTCTGTGTAAAACTAGATACACACGCCAGCAAAATTGCGCATGTATAGTGCATCGGGGCCTTCACCACAGAAAATGGTATGCATACTTTATGGAATGAATTTGCAGTTGCGAATAGCCTAGGTGAGCCAGTATGTGTTTCTATACCAGCTTCCGAGAGACCGTGTAAGGTATATGATAGCGCGATAAAGCACCGAAGATATCCGCAAGAAAAATACACCAGAGAGTAAGTGAATGGTGTACAATTCTCCGATTGAAGATACCATGAGAAGTGACACCCCATAATATGTACAAGTCCAATGACCTGGATGTCCACAAATCAATTCCTTTGGCATATAAATCATTGTACATAGACAGTAACAAATGCATATATATTTTTGTATACATAAAAACGTATGCTGATCGATACATACTATATAAATATTCTAGTTAACACAAAATTTAATATACATTTACCTATCCCTATAAGTATACATAAATTATGTATAGACGATATCACCATGCACATAACATGTACAACGAGGAGTATATTTCCACTATGAACTATATATGTGTGTGTGTGTGTGTGTGTGTGTGTGCGTGTGTGTGTGTGTGTGTGTGTGTGTGTGTGTGTGTGTGTGTGTGTGTGTGTGTGTGTGTGTGTGTGTAGTGTGTGTGTGTGTGTGTGTGTGTGT